GTCCCATATGGATAACCTAAGGACGAACTTTGTTCAGCAGGCGTCACCAGTCTTCCGAACAAGATCCACTGTCAGTACGAGAGACAAGATCTTCTCAATGATTGTAGAAACTTGCTTCGCGTGGTCAATCATCACTTGTGATGTCTTCACGCGGGATGACTAAGTACCAAGGTGCTCATGACGAGATCCGACCTTCTCCCGTGCATCATGCACCAACATGGTTGATCTTGGGTGTAAAAGCATCTATGTCAATGGACTTGTCCAATTTTTGGCCCATAAAAAAGCAAAGCAAATTGTACGTAGCAATCGTCATTTTCCACAGGTGGGTCCCATTTGGCCCCATTTCCTTAGTGATTTAGATGGCCGTTAACCAACATTCTATGGTATGGTCCAGTTCTCAGCAATTATCGACAGCCGCCTCAGATGACTTGGAATAGGGCACATACTTAACATCATTGCCGAGACTTTTGTCCACTCATCGAGGGCCATCCCCGCTAACAGAAGATGGCAGTCTTAGAACGGGCAATTCTCATAACCTCTTAATGGGTCAGGCCTTTATCCCAATCTAGCCGACCCTAATAAGACAAACAGCACGTTTGAAAGATTTGCCCTTCAGCTCAAACCGTAAACTTTTATTGGTGAAATACCGGATAGAGATAAGACTGGTTTTGAAGCGAACAGCTTTTGCAACAGCTCGACAAGCTTCATTTGATTCCAGCTGGAGTAAAATTTTCAGCACAGTGTCTGTTGGATCGACTCGTACAAATGTGTGTTGCAGACGCACTCAAAAGTGTGACGAATCCATCGAACCTGTGAAAGGACAACTTAGCTTCCTTAGATTAAGGTTTTTTAAAGACTCGGACTGATTACGACGGAGCTGCTAGAGAGGTGTTTGTCTAGCACGACGGTGTTTGCCGTCAAGCACGGTGTCTACCGAGACTTCGTCCTGTCGATGAACTTCAGGCATTACGCAGCTGTCCGCAGCTGGTTGTATCCATTTCATGTTAATTTAGAAGTCTAAATAACCTTTCATTTCAGAATATCAACACGCTTTTCGGAATTACATACGCCAGCCATATACAGGCACATCTGTGTGGCATCCTACAACAAGATGCCGGAATCCAAATTTCTATTATAAAACGGAAATAGCTGGCCGTGTTTATTCACAAACGACTGACTAGCATCCGGTCTACTGTGATCAAAACGCTGGAATGACGTTTGCCTTTTTGTGATCGGAGCGAGTGAGACTTTAGATTCGGTTTCTCGTAACTGATTGAAGGTGCACCCTAGCTCTAAGAATGCGACCCGGGCCAGGTCAGATTTGGCTCATCTGCGGAGAGTCCCCTGTTCGGTGGAGCAGAAAAACCAAACGAAGCTTCTGAAAAATACTCATTTCATTGTGATATTTTTAGCGGATCCCCTTTGACATGTAGCTCCTCGCAATCGGATATGGGATCCTACTAGGTACCTAAATGCCCACTTTCCCCCGTGGAAACTCTCTGAATACAGCACTTTTTGTGGTCAATCTTCTGTTACTTCACATCCATTGCTTCACTTGCAACTGAGTTATCTGATTGGTCATCCTAAAACCCATCGCGCGGTTAACACTATTACCAGTACACTATTAAATATGGATTCCTTGAAAAGCCGGTGTTGAAACTTACCATGTTCCCGTAGGTGAACGCAGTTCAATGTGTGTGGGTCGCACACGCAATTTCATTTGGGACCGACTGAAAATGGGACAGAGTTATTATTCACTTGTACAGGAGTGGACTACTTATGATGATGACAAGCAAAGAAAAGATTTACCAGTGAAATACACTCATTTGTATATCACTTGTATACCAGATTGATCTGAGAGTTTTCAGCAGTTTTGCAAGTGGTGTTCCGCCGGATTAACTAGTGGGTTCCAAATTTACTGTACGGTCATATTATAAACATTTCTGACAATCACGACCGGATTTCATGATATCGACCACCATGTTGAATGGCAGTTTGCCGACTGATCATCATGCGAACTAAGAGCGAGTCGATAAATTCCCGGATCAGTTTATCAGGGTTTTTTTCGGCTAACAATGCAGCAACAAACAACCGAAGCATCCACCATCGCCCATACCACCAAGCAATCAGACAATTTTGAAAAAAGAACGGCTGACATTAGGCACGCCCTTTGTTAAAACGAATAAATAAGTTGGGTCCAGTAAGCGAGCAGCACATCAAACCAAGTCACTGCTTAGCTTATCGAAAAAGCTAAAAATCTGCCTTAATCATGAAAGGATATCAGCAATGAATGCATGCATAGACGCGTAGTAAGCTGTACAGCGATGGTAGCTGTGTGTAAAAAAATAGTAAGGCAAGGATGATAACGAGTGACAAGGATTTAGCCAATGAGCGGGAAGTTATGTTAAGGACACGTTGCAAAGCGGAACATTTTTCGCGTGGAATCCCAAATTCAATGGATGAGGAGAAGTAGGACTATCAGGGTGACGCCCTAAGCGATGCCCAACTCTTCCGCTGTGGGTCATTTCGCATCCAAGCTACAATTATTTCGCTTCATCAACAAACAATTGTCCCGATGTTGTATTGGGGTCTCCGTAATTCACACAACCCAGAGTTAAAAATCGAAGTTCATAGAAGCCACTTCGACCTCATGTGCTGAAAAAGTGGAGGTGTAACTTTTGAGGGCGCCAAGTTTTACCACGTGTTTGCGATCTTATTTAAAGGCACCGGGATGTATCCTTTAAATTTGATAAGAGCTGCTAATTACGTGGGAGCCGAATATGGTACACTAGTGTAAATGTGGGCTCCCTGCATGTTCACACTATCTCGTCTTAGATCTTTCGTCATAAATCTCTTGTGGTAATTTGGAATTTGCTCCAAAAATATACACGTTCGTACTTTGCATAAATATTCCACTATATCATGAAACCTTACTAAACTCACTGGAGTATCAGGGACAGCAAACAAGTTCCGTTTTGTGTTGGTTGGGAAATTTGCTTTTGAGATCCTGATAGTGTCATGTGCATGAGTGAGCATTTTGAACATCAAACGGAAGAATTCGATTCAAAAACCAGTACATCGGATAACGACTGGCTGAATGATGGCTCGGTGGAGCCTTGCCATCACCGAGTCCAATTTTCCT